TTGCAGAAAGACTCATTGTTTTTGCTACTAACACTGAGATGTTGGCACATTAATCTGTATGTATCTGATTATTACTAGTCGTAACGGTTGCACTTGGATCCTTGGTGCCTGTGTATGTCTATAAAGTCATTGGGTAGATTTCAATGGTAATGTTTAGCACCTCTACTAATTAGCATGATGTAAATTTCTATGCTTCCTCCTCAAATATAATACATTTTTAAAAATTTGTTGATTTCTGTGTGTGTGTGTGTGTGTATCACACAGAACATCCCAAACCATATTATTCAACTATATACCCACTTCCCAGATGGCACCCTCCCACAGTATATAATAAAATGCCATTGGAATTTTGATAGCTATTGTATTTTATTTCTTTTTTTCAGATAGTTCATTGTTCACATATAGAAACATTACTGACATTTGCACATGAATTTCCTATCCTGGAACTTAATGGAATTTTCTCATTAATTCCAACAGTTTTTATGGGTTTTTATGTAGTCTGGGGCTATCAGAATATACAATCGTGTCATCTACACATACCTTTGTTTCTTTCTACTTTGGATGGTTTTTATTTCTTTTTCTTGCCTGACTGTACTGGGTATGAATTCCAAAACTATAGACTGGAAGTGAAAATAATGGAACATCTTAACCTAGTTCCTAATCTTACAGGAAAAAGTTTCACTTTTCACTATTAAGTATAATGCTAGCTTTGGGCTGGTCGTTTATAGTCTTTATTGTGTTGATGTACATTCCTTCTTTACCTGATTTGCAGAGAGTTTTTACATGGAAGGACACTGAATTTTGCCAAATGTTTTTTGAGGAATCTATTGAAATGATCATATGATTTTTATCTTTCATTCTGCTAATGTGTATTATACTTATTGATTTGTATATATTAACCATCTGCATCCTAGGAAAATGTTCCACCGATGATGTTGTATGATCCTTCAAATATGTTGCTGTGTTTGATTTGGTAGTATTTTGTTGAGGTCTTTCGTGCCGGGCTTATCATGGATATTGGCCTATAATCATCTTCCTTTGAATTTTGTTTGGCTTTGATAACAGGGTGATTCCTGCTTTATAAAATGACTTAGGAGGTGTTTGAAAATTTGAGGGAAGAGTTTGAGAAGGATTGCCCTTTATTCTTCTTCAACTATTTGATAGGGCTCACCAGCGAAGACATCAGGCTATTTTATGGTGATAATTTTTTATTACTAATCGCTACTAAATTTTAGTCTCTTCACATTTCCTGTTTCTTCAACATTAAGTATTAGCAAGTTTTATGTTCCTATGAATGTATCTACACTTGGTAATCTAATTTGCTGACATAAACTTGTTCACAATGATCTACTATTATCCTTTATATTTCTGGTATATCAGTTGTAATGTCCTCTCTTTCATTCCTGATTCTAAGTCTGCTCTCCTTTTCTTGTCAGCTAGAAGTACACTGACTTTGTTTACTTAGAAAAAAAAAAATCCCAAGCCAGGCATGGTGGCATGCACCTTTAATCCCAGCACTTGAGAGGCAGAGGTAGGTGAACTATTATGAGTTTAAGACCAGCCTGGTCTACATAGAAAATTCCAGGCCAGTTGGGGCTAAAAAGACAAAATAAAAAAATCCTACAGCTATTACGCTGCACTTCTTTTTTTTCAGTATATATTTTTATTTAATTTTTGTGCATTTCATACACCTTAATCATATTTAGACCCCCTCCCCTATCTGCATTCCCCAATAACCCCATACACACACCGATTTCATGCATTCTCTCATATATGTTAAGGTCTAGCAAGTCAAGTTTGTGTCCCCAGATGTCCCTCAGTGTGAGTTCATCCACTGGAGCCTGGTCAGCCTATCTAGCATCACTCCCTTAAAGAAGACAAATTACGGGGCTGGAGATATGGCTCAGCAGTTAAGAGCACTGACTACTCTTGCAGAGAACCAGGTTCAATTCCCAGCACCCATATGGTGGCTAACAACCATCCGTAACTCCAGTTCCAGGGGATTTGGCACCATCTTCTGATCTCCATGGTCATTGCACAGCATGGGTGCACTTATACACATGCAGGCAATACACTCATACACACACACACACACACACACACACACACACACACACATATATATATACATATATATAACTTTAAACATACCAACTCTCTTTCGCCCAGCAGTGATCAGCTGCCAATGGTTCCTTGGCTAAAGTTGGGGCTTCTTGCCTATTTCCTCAGTTCTATGCTGGGTTTTTGTCTGGGTTTAGTTTGCATGGATTTTGTGCATACCATTGCCATTGAGGCAAGTTCATATGAGCAAGTTCCCTGAAAACTCTGTTTCCTTTTGGTTATCCACCACCCCTGGCTCTTACAATTTTTCAGCCCCCTCTTCCACAATGGCCCCTGAGTCCTAGGTGGTGAGGTTTAATATAAGAGTCCTATTCAAGGACACACACTCTGCAGTCTCTTATTTTCTACATTTTGATCAGTTATGGTTTTCTGTTTTAATTGTCCTCTATTGTATGAGGAAGCTTCACTGGTGAGAGTTGAGATATCCATTAGTATTCTCTCTACCCCCTGTTCCACTATGTTCTGTAAGTCTTAGGTGTAGAGGTTGCATTGTAGATGTGCCACTTAGGTCTGGGTATCTCACAGGCATTTATTCTGTTTGACCAGTTGTGGAACTTTGTTATAGTCTCTAGCTATTGCAAAAAAGACACTGTATGCTAAATATATATTGATGAGTGGTGAGAGGTATACTTATCTGCAAATATAAGGATATCTATTTAGCATACAGTAAAAAATCACATATTTCTAGTGATGTAACAGATGTAGGTTTCTCTTAGGATCTATGGCCTCTCCAGCTAGGTGTATTTGGAACACATAAGTTCCCTCCCACTGATCAGGCTTTAAGTCCAATTAGATAGGTGTTGATTACTCCCAAGATAAAAGTACAACTATTGTACCAATAGAGAGGTACACTTTTTTTATAGACCAACACTGACTGCATTTCTTAGTTTAATATTAGTTCATTACTCTTCCAGTGTGATCTTTAGGTGTCTGCTAAGTGGAGAATGGTTCCTTCATTCCAAGGGATAAAGAATAAAATATATGATTATCACCAAGTAAGAAAATCCAGTAAAGGTACATGTCAAGTATTATTAAAACATAGAAGAGATACATAACTTGTTTAAATCTCACTCAGTATGGGAAGACTTCCAAGAGAGAAATGTTGAGCTGTTCTTGAAGTGGGCTTTGGAGGAGTACATTAAAGGCAGTGACTGTGGCTGAGGAGATTGTTCAGTGGGTAAAGTGCTTGCCAAATGTTCTAGTTTGCCTTTTCAACTGCTGTAACAAAACACTCTGACCAATACAAACTTGGAGAGGAAAGGGTTTATTTGGCTTACATCTCCTTGGTTACAGTTTATCTCTAAGGGAGCCCAAGGTAGGAACTCGGGGCAGGAACCTGGAGGCAGGAGCTGAATGAAGCACAGGCCATGGAGGAATGCTGCTTACTGGCTTGCTCCTTTGGCCCGTTCTTATACAACACAAGACAAACTTCCCAGGGGTGGCACCACCCACAGGAG